GAGCTCGTAATGGGCACGAACACTCTCCTGGGAAGTTTATGAATGTTATTTACCACTTACCATACTGCTGTTATATACTTTTAGGCGCTACAAAATACCCTTAAAATATGTGAAAGAAATACGCTTGTCTGTACATACATTAAGTGTGAAGCAAGTAATTTTAAAAATTCAATTAAAAAAGAATATCGGAATAGCAACACAACTCGATGAAAATAATTGATAGATTGTGCCAATTATCAGTGAGATCTAGGCGCTAAATGAAAGTTGATATCGACTGGGAACTTTTTAAAATTAATGGCTTACGCCATACACTGCGTGACATTTACAGCAATTTTTATTTATTTTTCAAAGGAAATCGGTTTCTACTTTCTATAATTCCTGATAATATTAACTTTCGAAATCAGTTTCTTTTTTATCGTACATTTTTTAATAATGCTACCAACTTGATTGATTCCTATTTAAAAACTTGTTTATCGTTAAGTTTAGTAACATTCCGATGACTTCAGCATTGGACAATAATGATTTATCAATGCTTAACAAACATATACGAAATATTCATAAAAGTAAATAAACATCAGCTTTTCTTCTATTGTCCTGTTACATTTCGTTAACTTTAAACTTATTTATAAAATTATTGTATCGCATAAATTAACTAAGAATACTTTTAAGTTGTATGGCTTGCGGTTATATGCTTCATTTGGTTTGCCAGTTTTGACCACCCAAATACTACGTCATAACGGAATTTATGCACACTTGTACAATAAACTCTAAAGGCTGTATAGCTTTAGCATTCATGTGTATTGTGTACAGCTTGGGTCGGAAAGGGTTTTCTTTTCTTATTTAAATGAGAGGAATCTGATTTATATTTATTTGGTACAGTATCCGGCCGTTTCCTGGCTTTTTCTCATTCCGGCCGCCAGGGAGTGTTACTTTTACGCTCGATGAAATTTCCTTGATCCTATTCCAATGTCAGTTGATATTTTTTTTCGTATACAATTACTAAATAAATGGCTACTGACAAGTTATATCCACATCAACTTTAAGATAAGAATAAAATTGCAAACTATTACAAACAGGAATCAATTATTCTCTACGTATTAATAATTTTCTAACTTCTATTACAAAAGAGGTCAAGTCTATTCAAGTGAATAAAAGTGTAAAGTTAAAGGCCGGGTGTTACGAGAAACGCTTGTTATAGTTCGATACAGCGTACAAGAATAGAGGAAGGGGATAAAGGGGTTGCTTTTGAGCACATTTTCTTGTAAGGTAAAGAAATAATTGCAGTGTTATATCAAAAGAGGTAATTCTTCGGTTGATGTGTTTGTGTTCTCGGATAATACGAGATTATTACTTTCTAGTATTGTAAAGATTTTTTTATTAATTGCTCTCCTTTTTTTATTTGTGTATAACTTATGTATATTTTGGTAATTGCCATTGTTTTCATGACATGATTCGTTACTTTGACTTGCAAATAAGTAGAATTTTCTTAATTTCCCGCATCGCCAAGCACAGTGTATTCGCCTTGCATACACGAAGCCGGCGATATATATACTCAATCACTTCCTTTTCTGAGACCGAATGTTATTGACATCGGATCAATTCATCATTCCAAATACAATACAATGAAGTGTTGAAAACAAGATGAGATAATAACTTTGTAAAGGTTTGATTGCTTATGGTGCCCTGTGAATTAAAACTCTCATATTATATCCAATGTTAAGTGTGTATTTAGTAAGCTTTAATAATCTTAAGCGCTAATAGCCTGATGGTTTGGGGTACGAACTACCGATCTTACGGTCGAGGGTTCGAATCCCGCCATTCGACAATTGTTACCCATATCTCAGCACAAGCCTAGAGCTTAGTTGGAATGGTTAAAGGAAATATTAGTAAATTAACAAAAATCTACTAATATTACTTAAAAAAAAAGTTTAGCATACAGCATATACAGATTGCAATCTCGATCGACTCGAAATACAAGACTTTAAACTCAATCGTAATAAATTACATTGCAAGGATAATTTTATTGCATTAGTTTTGTACTTGTATAACGTGGTTATCTTGTAAGAGCATTTATTTAACGTGTCGACAGATATCGGAGTGATCTTATACGTATCGATTCGACCCTGCTTGGAGTCACGAGTGCACATGGAAGATACGACACTCAATGGGCCGGCCCACTCGCGCCGCTCATAATAAACAACGCCCGATCGGCGCAATAAAGCTCGGCTGACCGGATTATCAAGATCCACTCGAATATAAGATTTGGCAGACACGCTACAATCTAGACAAGTTGTTTCTACTACACTTTCTTATTTATTCGACTATTATTTCAAAATGAACTACAACTTGAGAGTATTCTAGCTTTATTGTTGATCTTATGAAAATACAATTGTTTGTTGACTCGATTACAGAATAACTACCAAAGCCCAATCGGTTAGGAGCCTAATCTAAGTTAGGACTAGGCCATAGTCATTCATGCTGGACCAGCGCGGGTTGGTTGACTTCACACATATCTTTGAATTTATTCATGCATTGCATGTGCATTGCATCACGATGTTTAAGTATTATCAGTTAGTATTATCTCTTAACAATAACCATACATCAGTTTTTCGGATCGAATTTCAATATTGTATGTTTGTTCCATATATCATAGACCATAGTTTTCCTAACAACCTTATTGGACCCCGGTGCGCAACCATGACCTTTAAATAATCTGAATAACAAGTGATATAATTAACGAGAGATGATTTTCTTGTATTAGCCATGCGGTTAACGAACTGCACCCACGTCTTCGGATGGCGCTCTGCCAAGCACTAGGCACTAGGCACCAGAATATTCGGTGTTATCGCTAACGATTACAAGTGTAGCCGAATAGCGAGCACTCATGTAAGCATCGCATAACTTATACCCTTGCCTTGTACCAGGGTAACTGCAGTTAGGATAATGGTAATCTAAACATGCTGTTACATTTCAATGCTTAAACTTGTGCCTAAATGTAAATGAATGGTCGAACTGCAAGATGTCTTTCCAGTTTGTTAATTTTACATGTAAAAACTATTTTCGACTTGTTGCTTTTAAACTATTCTTTGTAGTTTTATTATGGGATAGAGTATGTGAAGCCACAATACAGAGAATAATTATTAAACTTTTTTGGTCTTCGTTGTAACTGACATTTTGAAGAATATCGAAGCGCAATATCGCCTTATTTAGAACTTGTTAATTAAAACGAGGTCTGTTATAGTTTCCAAGGCAAAAAGTATTATGAATATTTTACTGGCAGGTCTGGATTGTAGTCTGAATGCCTTAGGCCATTAACTTCCGAACGCAAAACGTATATCGGAAAGTAATTATTGTCGGGCAATATTCGACATTGTCAATGCCATATCGACGGTTAAATGACCCACCGGCTGTGAAATATTGCAATATTTACTACAAATGGTGGCATAAAGCCAAAGTTTTTTTAAATAAATCTTTTTTATTCCCGTTTAGAGAGATGAAAATGATGTTTTTGTTTGTGTTTGTTTTGAAGATTTTTGTATTAGGTACCAAAATAATATAATGTAAAGACATTTCAGTGACTGGAAGTCTCATTTTTGTGATATTGCCAGATTTATTGCTGCATGCGATAAGATTCTGTTATAAAATTGTAATATGTTAATATGGTTTAGATATATTAGATTCATATTTAACATCGTAAAAAAAAGTGTTTTCAAAGAAAAATTGGTAGTAAATAATACCGGTGAGAATTGGTATAGATGTAGAGGATAGCCTGGAAGGCAACTTATTTTTGTTTTTTTTTAATTCCTCGCAGACGGAATCTTGGGCGAAAGCTAGTGTATAGAGAATATCATAACAAGGCAATAGCAATCATTTAATTGTTAATCATGTTAGCGTATCAATTGCGTTTGTGTTTGTGAATGTACATATACATATGTATGTGTATGTATGGCTGTATGCCAGCGACGTGATGATACACGCGACCTCTAGTGTATCAAAGATCACGTAACACGTAGCCCACGCCCACGTTCGCCGCCAGGCTGTCTGAAGGCAAACTTGTACCGAATAAGGAAATCTCAATCTTATTTATTGCAAATGCATGCAAAATACAAAGCCAGTTTTGCAATCCGGTTAGACGCTCTTCGTGTGTCTTATTCTATAATTTATTGACACATAAAGATGCAAATGCTTAATTTAATGTCGATTATTTGTTGTTTTTTATTATTATTGATAAACAGTTGAAGCTTTTGTTACATTTTAGACAAATTAGATAACGGAAAGGAATCTTGGGAATCGATTTCTTTAAATCTTGTCTTCTAAAAATGTACTATTCGAAAACTATTATAGGATCTATAAATATAATTTGATTGAATTCCAAAATTTTTCAGATGTAAAACCCGTTTTATCTCAACAATCCTGACTTTTGCCATTCTGATTCAAGATTGCGTGTTTTTATCTTAACATGTATTTATGTGCATCTCTTTATTTTTGTAGAATAATTAAAGCGTAGCTTTAATTTAAAGAAAATAAATGTTACTACATACATAACCTCACATCAATCTCGTGGCATTGACACGTCCTGAACATACCACGCCAGTCAAATGACCAATTCTGGTTAACGACGTCCACCCTCTCGATATTAATCAAAACAATTAACGCGACATTCTGTCCATGCGTCGTCATAGTTTGAACATAGTCAACATGTCTCATTAAGCTGACGATGTGAGAAGTATGATTATGATGTAATGACGAAAAATACGCTTATATCACTTATATACACGCAGTTATAAAACGCAACACAACAAAGGATTTTTTCTATCATGTTCATCAAACATTAAAGGTTCACGACTTCAAACGGAAAGCTTGCGTCCAGCAGACGTCTAATGGCGAATCACTTGAAGAATTTCTTTACCTTTTTCTGTTGAATGATCACCGTGTTGGATTTGGTTGATATTTTCTAAGAGCGCTTGGCTGGAATTAAAGTAAATGATTTTTGTCAACAGATGCGGTCTCCACGCGGACTTCACGGAGCTGACGGCTTGTGTAGGTGGAGAGCTGGACCGACACGAGGGCTCCGCGGTGCATAGAAGATACTTCTATATTACACTGCTACGGGAACCTGTGGCCAGGTATGTAAATATAGCTAATAATACTGCCGAGGATTAAGCACCTTGTGCTTGTGTAGTTACAAACTTTTACATGCTGATATTAATGGTGAACCTAAGTATGTTTGCACAGTCATCAGTAGTTTTACTTAAATGGGATAAGGAGGTTCTTAAGGAGGTTATAAAGGAATTTATAGTGGCGGTGATTACAATAGATGTGATAATTGAACAAAAAATCCTGGCGCGATTACAATCAAATTGACTTTAGGTGTAAACGATTCAGCTGTTCTAGAATAACTTATGAATGGAATTGTTAGTGAACTGTTAACAAATTCTGCAGGAATATTGGCGTACTAAAAATATCTCACATATCTCCTGTTGCCGTAATATTACGGAAATTGCCAGGAAATTTGATAGACGAGCGTCAGAGACAGTCGTAGCTGCCAAACCGTATAATAGTAAACTTTTACCGATATATTTACATTTATTTGAGAGCTTATAGTAAACTAAGTGTACTTTTTGTTGTATGAACATAACCTATACTACAGTTATCGTGACTTACATTTAACCCTGGCCCTGGTGATTATTCGCATTAACAATCTTTCTATATTTAGCGCCAGCATTTCATTATACAATGATTAATACGCCAGAAATGTATTTTCCTAACAAGATAAATTTCTCATCGGAGTTAGCGCCATATGGTCTCGTTTATCAAAACAACAACGCTGTGGAAGTTAAGGGGCGTTGTTTATTATTATAAGAGGCGTATAAGCGATGAATAAGACAGAGGATTTTGGCGCAGGTACTTGTCGGAGTATCGGCACGTGAAGCGCGGCGCCACGTGGAAAGGCTCCCGACACTGGTGTCAAGGTCGGACGGCTACAGGTAAATATTATCTTGATGTTAACGCAAACTTTACTGTTTTCAATATATCTGAGTGGGTGGAGGTGAGATATCGGGGCAATATAACAAGTTTTGTGTAAGTTTTGCTATTGTTTATTGAGTGCCTACTGAGCGTCCCCATCTGTCTATAAGGAGTTTTAGTGATACTCTGATACTATAAATTATTAAACTCAGAAGACATTGGCCTTGAGTTTATTGAACTGAAAATTCACCAAATATAAATAAAGATAACACCTCGATGGATTTGCTTTTGCAATTTGATTTTGATATCCTTAGATTTACTGGTTAACTAAATTAATTCCAACGTGCGTTAAATGAAATAAACGTAATATTTAATTACTAAAAACAAAACCGTTGTGCGTTTGTTAAGTGTTGTTGTTAATAGAATTAAAAGTTAATTAATTGTTGCGTCGTCGTGTTGGAGAAAGCACTTCGCAGTACGCACGATCACCGCTCACACAAATTAATGCAACTACCCGCTTCATTAAATTGACTGCGAAAATGAAATCCAACAAGGGACACACGAAAATGTATTTTATCCTATAGTAGCAACGTTCCATTTCCCGTGACAGGGATTATTGTGTTTAGATTTCTGTATTACTTGTATGATTTCATTATTCATTGCGCTGACGATGTTTGTTTCTGTTTATTACCAAGCAGAGAAACACGACTTGCTTTGTTTTGTATCAAAGTTATTATTAATATGTACGTTTTTGCAATGTTTGTGATATGATAATGGAAAACGTGGTTAGATTTGAGTTTTTCTTATATATCTTATATTATTGTTTTCAGCTATGTGACATATGAAATTGGATGTAGGTAACTTTGGTGCTATGATGATTGTCGTTAAATCTAAAATTATCAAAAAGTAATAGCTTAAACTTTATTGGCTTTACACTTAGCCATGCTGCTATTATTGTTTCAAATGACAATTTCCGGATTTATCGCGACCTACTTCCTATTAACGTACCGGGCACTAAATGAATTGTACAAATCCATAGCATTGATTTAAAATCGAATCTATCTAATCTACAGAGGTTTGGTTTTAAATTCTTTTGAATACAGTTTTTACGTATTTTGTACAACTAGGAGGAGAAAGTTACTACAGATTACGGTTTTAAAGTACGATTTATTGATTGAATACTAAAGATGAACTATGAAATCAAACCTCACAATCCTTTTTACTCTTTACTATAGCATCCGAGGTGCCTCCCTGTTACACTGGGGAGTCATGGCGTGGAGTGACCTTAGAAGAATTTGCGGCCTGCCCCTGGAACTTGGCCAACAATCGTCAGACGCGTATGCTGGCAGACCTCGCGCTGGTGGGCTGCTACAACGGTACACTGCGACATCGCAGCGCAGATTCTGACCGAGTGCTACTCGCATCAGCTAAGAGGAACCTCGCCGCGATGTCGTACTTCGGTCTCACGGAATTCCAGAAGGTAAGTGCTGCGTGAATACGATACGAATACGATTTCTAAGTACTCTTCTATCTTTTTCTCTACTCATATTTTTGCTATCTATGCCCACTAAAGGCTAGTTGTAACTGTTATAATTTTGATATTTTTAATATGTGACTTAGAAATAATTCCTTGCTAAATCATAAGTGATCCTAAATAGATGTCAGATTAGCGAACCGAAACATAACACGTTTAATACAAACATGTTCTCACAGAACGTTTACACGGTCAATTAGATGGCGACGTGTTCCTTCAGTTCATAAGGTGTTGCGTAAACTATGTCCGAGGACTGTGTAGTGCAGGCACTAACTTGTGTACAACTCTCGGTCCAATGACCCGTGAACAGATAAGTGTCATTTGCAACATACCAACGCTTACAATGTATATGTCGCTGTTGAAATTTAAAAATTGCTAGTTTTTATTTTCACTAGATATTTTATTTTCATTTCCTCAAAGGCCGGCAACGCATCTGTAGTTCCCCTGGTGTTGCAGATGTCCATGGGCGTCGTTGACCACTGTCGTTGACGGCGTTTTTCATGCCGCTCGTTTGCCTCTTTTTTAAAAAAAAAATGTATTGTAGGTTAGGATTTTAATCATGATTTCAAATGGTGTTGATATCTTCTATAATGCGTCATTATTTTATTCATAAAGTATTTTTTTTTATTAAGGCAAAATAGGGAGTTGACTTAAATTTCAAGTAAATTGTTTTAGTTTTACGTTTGTTTATAAAAATTGCATATAAAGAAATTGCAAATGAAAGTTTCGTCAATTTACAATATTCCAATATTGTATATCGCCTATATTTAAAGTTTTACTATGACATACATAAACACAAAACATACAGTCCGTACGTGTGTAATGCCACTGGCAGACGGCGCGTTGCCTCCAGCTACAACAGTTGGCTTCCCCACTGATATAATCCCTATTATATGTGCCATTAAATCGCCACAAGTTGTTTATACGCAATATAAAGCATAGATAAATCTTATGTGATAACTATAAAAGGCGTTACTTTGTTTTGTTTCATGGCTTTTATAAAAATGGTTAAGTAAACTCCAAATATGGAGATCATTATACAAATTGTGTAACTTTTTAAAAACTTTTGTTCTTGTGACTAAATAGATTTCTACCTGGAACTGCTCTAGGTATTTTTAATATTGCTCAAAGACATTAAAATTTAGGTTTAGATAGTTTATTTGAAGAACAATGTTGTAATTGACGACTTTTTGTTTTTTTAATATATTCTTCCCTCTAACGTAAGAATGTTCGTACATACGGGAGTAAGATATGCGAACCATTTAATCGACGTCAGACAATTTAGAATGTAGATAGCGAAATTCTTATCCGTCTACGAAATTTGTTAGAGCTAACGTAGTGTACGCTGGTATTGTATGGCGGTAGCTGCATGCCTACACACTCCAGATGAGATGAGCTCTGCGGTAAATTGATATAACCTCAAATTCTTAAAATTCCTAACATAATTAATATTGTGTGCAAAAGGAATTTTATTTTGTGGACTTGAAGTTAGCAGTTATAAACACGTATAATCTATACTTCTATACTAATGTTATAAAGTAGAAAGATTTGTGTTTTTGTATGTATTCGATTCAACGTATAAAATCTACTGGGCCAATTTTAAAAATTCTTTCATCGTTAGAAAGGTAGTTTAACTGTGAGTAGCATAGGCTATATTTTTTTTAATTTCATGCGAACGAAGTCGAAGAAAAACTTAACACCAAAAAAGTTAAATAAATTACACAGGTAATATTAATGTAAAGAAATTTAACTGTGCCTAATTACACATTTACTATGTACGCGATTTGTATATTTTCAATCAAAATATTCGTATGTTTTATGCAAAAGCTATTCTATGCGGAAATCGATATGACAAATTTTATCTTCCTGAGCTAGGAAATTGTAATAAATCTGATGATATCGTGCAAGCGACGTTAGCAACCTTACTGTACAATAGCCGATATGTGTCGTGCTGCAAATTGCTCCATTCTACTCCGATATTATGTGAAGCTCGTAAGTTGCGGCTTGAATTCAAACAGAGAGAGAGAGTCGGGTTTCGAGGAAGTTCCTATTAAGATCCAATATGTGAATGAATTACTGAAATATGCTGTATAAAATTAAAGAAAAATGATAGGAAGCAAAATCATACGTATTTTATCCTATAATAAAAGAAAATGAAAGATCTCCAAAAATTATTTATTACGATAATTATAAACAACTAGCTTCCGCCCGCGACTTCGTCCGCATGGTATTAATAAAAACAAAAGAAAGTAGCTTATGTGTTCTTCCAGACTATCCTCTACACCTATACCAAATTTCATCGAGATCCGTTTAGCCGTTTAGGTTACAAACTCTAACAAACATCCATTCATCCAAACTTTCACATAATATTCGTAGTATTAGCAGGATGTATAGCAGCAGCTATGTAGTCAATCCCACATGTCAGTCGTAAGTCTGTACACAAACAGTTGGCGGTAACGCGTTTGTCGTGACGTGCTGGCGCCCCACATAGCTGTAACAACAAATGAGAACAAATATTAAACTTGCCTGTCTCAGGTATTACTCGTACAGTTGTAAAACAAACTTGTATATAATCTACAATGATATGCCACACCTGAGACCCGGATTGTCAAAGAATTTAAACAAAAAAATAGAAAACTATCATATCAGAGGATTCAAAATTAGGCATTTTATTAAGTTTTTCATGGTCTACATTATTCGGATCTCAGTTACCAGATATATCTAAATATGAAATATTGAACTCTTTTAAGAAAGGATCAAGCCTCCTACTAAGGTGCTTTAGCCGCTGCGAGCTGATATTTGCATATAAAGATATGTGTTTGTTTAATTCGTCTAACATTGTTCAATTGTTGTGATAGATATCTCAATACGTGTTCGAGGAGACGTTCAATCTGCGTTTCGCGGTGCCATTCGCGCAGCACAACGCGACCGTGTCAGCGGCCACGCTGGCGGCGCTCTCCCCCGCGCAGGTTGCCCGTGTCCGACGCCTCAACGCACTAGACCTCGAGCTCTACGACTTCGCCAAGAACTTGATGCTTAAAAGGTTTGTCAATAATTACGTTTCCCGTTTTTAATTTACTCAGGCTTTGAAAATCGGGCATTTAGCGCAATTTATTTAAATTTGACATGTCTGCCATTTTAAAGATAACTATCTCTCGAACACTTGGCATTATCATTAATTAACACAAATGTGTGAGCCATACAAAGTGTCTCCTATAATTATATGGAAATCAATCAAACAATTTACAGTTTTATTCTATTTCTAACAGTGCTCTTTCTTTAGGTTTGAAGCATTAAAAAAGCGAGATTCAGATTTCGACTACCGATGGAAGCATCTCGGTGAGGTGTCCCCTCGCAGCGGGGTTACCGAGTTCGATTGGGACAGTAACCTAGAAGATGCCACCACGGAGAAGTATCGAGGCAAGTAACTACACTGCCTCTTATCCACGTTGGAGAAAATGTAGATATATGACGTCACTAAATTGTAATTACGCATCTCAGTGAGTGATGTAGGGATGATGTTTCTTTAAAAATACATATTGGCTGCTAGTCACCTATTACCTAGTGGTAGAGTTTCGCAGCATACAGTGTGATTCAATGTGTTCGATCCGGAATTAATTTGTTCCAGATTTGCTAAAAATTAGATTTGAATTCCGATATTAGTTGTATTGTAATATAGAATCTTGTATATCTGTAAAATTTGATATTCCATGGCGGCTAGTATTAAGTTGGTTCTCATGTAAATTAGGAGTTAATTTTAGTATGAAAATACCATTGCAGTTTTAACTATGTTCCTTACGGCAACTATTATTGATAACTTTTATTTTAAAATCATTCCATTTTTAAATCGGGCATTTAAGTTTAATATCATAGTGATGGGGATAAAACGATATATCATAGTATCGATTCTGTAACTTCCACTCGATATAAACTGTTAAATGATGACATACGGTTGAAGTACAACCTTTAATTTCCGATACGATTGCAATCGTGAAATTTTGTCAACCCTATTTAAATTCAATTTTTAATATTAGATATTGAACGAATTTTATTAAGGGTTTTATGCTTTTTAAGCTTTAAATATTCCCGTGAATTTTAAATATACTTAGATTTTTTTGTATTTTTTTTCCTACAAGTTGTGCTATAAATCCATCCCTACTTATTTTATTTGTTTTTAGATATAAGATTAGTATTAATTTGTTGGTTTAGTTATGTTTGATTGTAAACAGGGTAGGTGACGCGTTCTGAATAAAGCCCAACGAATTGTTATTTTTTAAGAAGTAAAGTGAATTTAACGAGTTCCAAGTAACAATAAAAATTAACCGCAAGCGTAATTTCAAAAAGTTACCTTGTAATTTTGAATTAAAAAGAAGACCTAAAACCAATTAATACTCACCCGCACTTAAAAAAGCTACGATTTTTCAGGTTTATTTTATTTTTGAATAGTTCAATTATTCACAAAAAAAAACAATTAAAAAAGTATCATCACCAGTGTTGTACAAATTAAGAACAATCGATCTTTATTTATTTTTTATGTAAATACATAAGACTCGCTAACTTTACATAACTTGACATATAAAATACGCAAATTGTATGTAAATATACCGTCATATATTAGGTTGTTAAGTAAATAACGAGGCATATAAATGCACGGCTAAAATGTTATGTTATAAATATAAAATTGCTTATTAAAATTATTTAAAACCACTCTCATTCGAACCAAAGAGCAAATTGGATAATTAATGAAATTGGATATTCTGATTAGAACAAATTATATTGTATGTGTATATTTATTGAAAGATAGACTTTAAATCAATGTAATAAGAGTGATTTTTGTTTGAACGATGCTGTAGTCCTGCTTACCCGCGTTCATTAAATGTAAAAATAATTGAAACTACAAAATGCGTGCACAATTAGTTTTTAATAAAAGAATGGAAAGTAGCCCTCTATCTCTTAATATTGCCAGATTTTAAATACACTATATTGTAACAATAATAAAAAGCTGAGTATTCCAATGCATTTAGTTTTTTATTATTTTTTTTATTTACGATTTGCATTGGGAAAAACAAAAGCATTTAATCATCGAAATCGTTAAAGTTCTCGCTTTTTCAATATATTTATTGAGGTTTGAGTTTAAATGGAAGAGGTTGTATGTGTTTTATTGTTTTTTATTTTTGTTACATCGGAGAGTGCGTCTAGTTAGCTCTAGTTAAGTACAATTTTTCTGATCTGTTTATTTTTATTGGAAATAGTATTTTCGTATTTTGCTAGCGTTTTGCAATTGTTCGGTACACTTGTTTAATTACAATACATTTTAATGTGAAGACTTAGTTTTATTGATAACAAGAAATAAGAATTACAATGCGGATATTAGCAATTTTCCAAATTTATTTTTGTTGTAAACCCGTTTCCAAATTTAATCGATTTAAATATCATCTCGTAGTTTACATTGATTATTATGTTTCTGAGTAATGTTTCTACAAATAAATGTAATTTATTTGATAAAGAGAATATTAAATAGTATTTTTTTAAACTTTTAACTAAAGCAATCAAAAGTCAAAAATCGATAAATGGCGCAATGTCGCATAATTTGTCAACTACCGTACTCAGATTGGTTAATTGAGCGCTAAGTATGTCCCTTAGTGTAGATTTTTCATACTAAATTTACACTAAAGGATTACTTACAATTCAAATGAGGTAGTAAATACCTTTTAAATTGGCATTAAGTTAATGAATAAATCAATGAAAAGAGTTGAACGAAATTGTATATTTTAAATAAATATAAATTTATTTATAATTTACAAATATTATATCTTTGGAAGTTTTAGTAAATTGTCGGAAGACGTTGCATACGTCCTGTGATACAAGAGTATAGTTAGTTCTACTTATTTGGTGCGTGAGTTCACACGCCAAGTTGCGCTGAACTATCTATATCTTAAATTCAGTAAACTACTTATGAAATGTTTATTTTTTAATCACTAGTTTCATTGTAAATAATGTATAGACTGTATAGATATAAATACTTGGACAGCTATCGCATGAGCCATATTAAGTTAGCTATTAAGGTGCAAGTTTTGTTGTGAAGATGTTACATAAGTTGACATTATGTTGTATGGCAGCGTTGTCTAGTACCAAAACATAGATAATAGTTTGTTTTTTCTAAGTTTCCGACTGAACCAAATCATAGTAGATATTGTGTTAACTGACGAATAAGTAAAATAAATTGAATAATAATGTTTTTGGTGTTTTATTTTTATTTTACGTTTATAAATCGATGGTTTTATTGGCTGTGGAATATTCGTCGCGTGTAAATGAGTTGGTTGGATATAAAGTACCTAATTAACCCTATCAGGAAACTACCGAAGGTCAACTGCAGTTCGAGTCGGTTGTAAATCTAATGATTTTCGTTTATTAATTCAATCTCAAAAGCTACCATTTATTGGGTAGCATATCCGTTGGAATTACTATCATTTAATATGTAGTGGCTATAATTACCATAAAGATAAAAAAAAGTTTCTGTGATTTTCGCTGATTATCAAAAATCTCAAAATATATCAATACCATAGAAAAAATTAGTAAACTAAGAAATGCATACTTACAGAAGCTGAGAAATATTTACCGAGAAACATGATTACATTATTAGTGAAAACAAAAAAAAAAGCGAATTACGAGTGAGATACAACACCAGAAAATATTAAGTACTTGTACTGCCCGAGACTATCCGCGTGGATTTTTAAAAAGTACCCTTCGTGTTATTCCAAACTATGTTCTACATCTATGTCAAATTTCATCCAAATCCGTCCTCTAAAACTCTAATATAAACATCAAATTCATAACAATCGATGCATTAAAATAAATCTTTCACTAGCAGTGAGATGAATTGTAACACGTTTTGTCGCTAAGTGAAATAAATCATCGAGTGAAAGATAAATCACAACGACATGCGTTAATAAAAACGTTGCGTTGTCGCAGCGGAGTCGCGCAGGAAACTCTAATGGTCGAATTTGCATTTATATGATTAGGTTACGTCCGGCGACGGATTGTACGAGTAGGTGGGAACACAATCCAGCGCGACTACTTATTGCCCCGGCGTCGCTTGCACTATTTATATGGTAATACTGTAAAAAATACAAATTCATATAAAAACATCTCAAGAGTTTTACATTATGATTACAGAAATATTATAAGAGGAAACCATTATCACCAGAGTTCATTTATTGAACAAGGTAAGCTTTGTGCAAGAGTTAATGTTTTTCTGGTTATTTATCTAAATGACTTTCTGAATAAGAAAATTAATTGAGTTCCAAAGATTAATTGATGACGGATTAGTCATTTTGTTAATTATTGACGTTACTTTTATGACAACTGCATTAAGTGTACACATGAATGGCTTCCCAGGTCCGATCATCAGTGTAGTTCGAGTGACCAGTGACCGGCGGCCGCTACACTCCGCTGGCTCCCCAAATCTAATTTAGCTCAGCTCGTCTGTAACAGACATTGTTAACTCCTGTTCGTGTGGAAATAAACCGATATACGGAAGCGGTATAACCAATGTGAGAATTTATTAAACACAAACAGATGTCGAGAACTTTGTCCGCATTATTTACGTTCTACCAACTGAAATGATATTGGTGTCAAAAGCCTATTAAAACATACGAAAATCGTCGATTGAAATTAACTTTCTACTCTATAGTTATACGTATTTTTTAAACTGTTTTAACATTCAAGAGATGTTTGTAAAACCCTTGATTAGCGCAAATAATCGCTATACAAGAAGTTTGTTAAAAAAACTATTTTTTTAAATTGTTGTATTACGTGATCAAATACGTCTCTTATTATTTTTAATGTTGAAATGTTGGTAGCAGGCATCAATATAATGAACTACTAGAAACGTAGTTAAACCGAAAGCGTAGTGGAATTGATCGTACCGATGAGATTGTATCTGACGAGTGCTTTGATGTCTACTAACATTAATTAAATCGATACTCAAACTAATTTAGTGGTTGGGAACATGCTGGTAATGTTCCTTACCAAATATATTTACAACGCGAACACATGTATGAACGTATTTTTTACTGTCGTCTATTGCGTAGATTTTTATCTTTTGTGACATTTACTTTATCTTTTAATTTATTTAAATAATGTAGTTTTTAACCCATACCCAATTCTCGATAAAGAACTAAAAAAATCAACAAGTCTAATTGTAATTCACGGCTCGTAATTTCGAACATTATCACTGACTGTTAATGTATTCGTAATTTTTCCCCAAAGCCTCAAAAAAATTACGTTGTGACATATTTATCGTGGCAGCTTTAACAGAATATAGATGTTTTAATTAAGAAACCTCGTATCTGCAATTGAAATCAAAAATAACGGACGAAGTTACCTACATACAAAATAACCAAAAGCCTACTGATTTTAGAATTCCTAAGTCACAGCCAGTTAGCGGCGCTAGACTGATTTTGGCATCCAGGCGCCTAATTCTCTGTAGCTACAACACATAAAAAACCTCGAATAATTACGCATATATGCATCTTGCACCGTATAATACATGTTAAAGTGTTAGTTCACACGACATCTCGAACACATTTGTAACAAAATCCGTACAATCACGAGATGGAATCGCCGTCGTCCGGCCTCGCCTCGCCGCCACGCCGCATAGTAAAAAGGTCACAATTCCCGGTAACATCGATATTGACATGCACAGCTTTACACTGAACCGAAACCCTTGTTTCTATGAATCCTTCTTATTTTTTAATATTATTCATTCAAACGACAAATAAAGAACGGTTTTTGTAACAATACATCCCTCAATGAAAGATAAATTATTTATTACTGGGGGTTTTAGCTATTTTTAGGTTATGTTTTTCAAGTATGTATTCACTAATACTTAACCTCGGTTAATATTTTTATCAAAATATATTACTTTAGAAAAATAGGACTATTCCTACTGTCCCAAATCACAAATCCCAAATTCCGTAACTCAAATACCGTCACAACAATAATTTGACAAAAGTGTACTCTACTGTACAATGAAATGCTTCCGCGTCGTGGCACTGCACGTCCACACTCTATTGTAACGCGACCTAAAATTGTACCCTAATGGAAATTGATTGTCGTTTCCACTGATGGTAATAGACTTACTGCACTACGTTTCATTTTGTCACTTATGCTTTGTTTACATTATGCCAGTAAAGTAGGCCAGTACTAACGCCAATGAGTCATTACAGTCAATGTAGGCCTGTGCTACTCTCCAACTGTACTGGCCAATAGTTGGCTAGTAGACATCTATAGACTGGCATTCAACATGTATAATGTAAATACTAACTGGCGTAAGTGAGAAATTACAATATACCTGGCCTGTGTTACTGACCAACTATGCTCGTCAAATGTGAAATCTACACTGTTAAGGCCTTTTTTCGACTAAATGACCGCGTGCCATTGTTTTTTAGTAAATAATTTCACATATAAATCAAATTCGGTTAATCGCTTGGTGAAAACGGAACTTAAGTCGCAGCTGTGAGGATTTTTAAAAGGAAAGCAAAGAGTTTCATCGAGTGGCGATGGGAAAGTAATTACTAGTTGCAGTTTTAAGTGTAGTATAGTGGAATTAAAAAATATATTAATTCATAACGTAAATGGATCATCACTCATTTCTGTGTACTCTGATGTTAATAAAGAAATGATCAATAACTACTTACTTAAAATTACTTAGGATCCTCCAAGAAGCGAGCCTACAATTTCCTCAAAGGCCGGCAACGCATCTGTAGTTCCTCTGGTGTTGCGGATGTCCATAGGCGTCGTTGACCACCTCGGCGTTCCCGCCGCTCGTTTGCTTACGCTCTTGTAAAAAAAAACACGTTGTTATACACACTCTAACTTATATTTATAATCTGTGGATACTTAAGTTTAATAAGAACCTTATCATATGCGTCGCGACAGCCAAGTTTCGTGAGATTTTATAATTAACAATAAATTTCATGTTGTTTGTTTTGAGACAACGCGACGATGCAGTTTGAAAGACATCTTCCCACGGGAAGCAAAAGTTTGGTACTAACGAATAAATAAAGTTATTTTTTATTAGTTATTATAAATCTCACTAGTAATGAAAATACGAAAGGGCCCAATCCATCCAAGATAGATAGATATTTGTTAAAGTTTGTTGGCTAAACAGCTGAACGGATGTCAATCAAATAAAGCAAAGATGTAGAGGACAGTCTGGAAGAACACATAGGCTACTTGATTTGTTTTAAACTTCCACCCAGAAGGAACCGCGGGCGAATACTAGTATATAATAAATTTTATAATACAATTTCTTACCTAACTTTTAATTCAATGTAGGATGAATGATTAAATATTCCATAGTGGTAAATAACTTTAGTTCGATTTGATTTGCAGGCGAGAACAGTTTGCATAGCAATAGACGTGCGATGTCCGGGAAACTATTTGAGATTACATTCCGTTTTCAAGCACCAAGAATGCTTTACTACACTAAAGGGAGGCATAAATATTCGAAATCATTATTGGAAGGTGTAGAAATTGACAAAAATGCTTAAAAACGTGCTTAGATTGATAGAATCTTAGTACTTAGAGCAATTTAAAGTTATTTTCTATTTGTTCTAAAATAGAAAGTAGGCGACACTATTCTGAGCGGTGGGTCGCCTAAAGTAAATACCAAAGGACCTGAGCTGCTTGGCTTACAGTTTTCTGATGTGCTTAAATATTTGCAAGTATAACAGAAAGTAGGTAAACGTTTCCATCGAGCCTATTTACTGCTGCGTCGTGTAAGATAAGTGATAAAGTGTACATTACACAAATTTTATTCATACCTGCGGCAACGGCGCGACGCAGGCTGGCGTTTTCATACTCGTAAAGAAAACGCGTGAG